AAGTTTACACTATGAATCTTTCCCCTATTAGATACCCTGCTGACTGAACAACCCCTGATTCAGCACTGGCAGTAATCCGCGTTTTGATTTTTCATTTCTAACTGTTATTCTTTCACGCCGCGGCAAATCAATTTTATCTATTATTACCCTTATTCATAAATGTCGTCCTCAAAGTTCTTCACTGCAGCATTTTGGCATGGTGTCCTAACTCTCGTGGTATTACCCTACTGTCTAGTGCTGGTAAACTACACACTTGAATTGTCCTGAAAATGTTGAGGCAGGCGGTTGATGGAAGACGCTGAAATCATGCAGACTTCCGGACGGAAGTTTCATGCCTGTGACCATATTTTTATTTTTCATAATACCATAGACTAATGCTAACAATTCTAGTTGCCTTAGTTTGCTGGTTTCCTCGACTTGACTGCAGTTGATTCAGTACATCGTCCAACGATATGCAAAATTTTAACAAACTATGTGACACCTGAACACATCGTCTCCATTCTGCAGTGCATGTATGCAGGAACCATGTCTGTTACCTTTGAGTGGTTCCCTGTTATTTGTGAATTCGCCTGGAAGATGTGCTTTCCAGCTTGCAGTTCAGTATTACTCTCGACGTTTTTCTCCAAGACAGTGGTAACCTTGGCAAACCCAAAGGTATCATTGTAGAAGTAAAGTGCAGTTCAATAAATCCGGCTATATGTCTTGCTGACCTTCAGTACGCAGATGATATTACCTTGGATGACGAGTAATGTGAGGTATGGGTTCTGCCGCTTAATGGCTTCCGCGTACAGCACATCTGCGAATACCGGCCTATACGTTAACGTCCAGAAGTTCAAAGTTTTGATGAGCTCGGCAGACATAGATGACCTAATAGTGGAACGGAGAAGAGAAGCACTTCAGGAGGTTGATCAGTTTAAGCAACTCAGCTCTGTCGTCTCCAGCACTGGCGCCATCTGGTCAGAGTTAAATAGGAGGATCACCCTAGTATCAAGTGCTTTTAAAAACCAATTTTTACACTGCACAGAAACCTTCCTGTAACTTGCCTCTGTCAAGTCAGCGTTGTTGTACTCGGAAACGGTAATTCTAAAGAAAGAGCAAGAATGACGACTGAATTGTATGTAGCATAAATCAGTTACGTCAACCAATGAGCTTCTCAGTTGGAGCCGAAACACGGCGAACGTCGATCGGGATGGTAGCATGCAGCATGGAGGAACAAACAGAGACGGGTCTGCTTTCGGATATATCCTTCTACGAGACGGTAACCGGTGCCTTATAGCAAAAAACGTTGATAATCTGTGAATACGTCAGACATAGCAAACCAAAAACGTTCTGTTCTGGCAAATGGCTCTAAGTGATGATGACCACACGCTCACAAATACATATACAGAGCTGAAAATCACGAAGATGGGTGAGTTTTCTAACTATAAGAACATCCTTTTGTCATTACTGAAGCTGATCAAAATCAACTAATTAGTATCGATCATAAACGGTCGATTCACACGGCCGCTGCAACCAGCGCTGGGATTATATTGAGGGCTGCATTTCGAACCCACCATAGACTTTTGACTGAATATTCTCTCCCCTCCTCTACGAGAAAAATAAAATTTCAGTACTTGGATCCTTTAAAAGAAACTCCTGGTGTCGAAATTAAAATGTTATTTCACAGATTAGACTTTAATGACTCTTCTAATAATTGGGTTGCAGGTTCCTATCCTATTTTTGCTGTTTACTGATCATTTGTTTACACTATCATTTAGAAATGATGTGCATTTGTTTATTCTTCGTGTTTATTTTAGTATAGGCCGAGCAGATGGCGGCTGTCCAACAACCGAAGTGACATCAGATACACGGCTTCCGTTCACATGTAAAGATTGGTCCCATCCTCACCTTCGCCATGTCTAATTTGTATGCGTTTCGTTTACGATTTCAAGCGATGAAACGGGATAGAGTTTTCATTTCATCAAATGATCTTAGGTGTCCAATCAAGCGACGTCGAAATGTCCTGTTTTTTGTCATAGATCTGTGATAGGTCCTAATGAGGTATTAAAGCGGTTTTAAAGACGATGTGTGAATGCTGCATCTGAGGGTTTTTTAAACTGTGTGAATATGTTATTTCTCTTTTTGCGAATTCTAGATATTTACTGGTATTGATTTGTTACGCTCTGCGAATCTGCGCAAAGCTGTACAGCGCTGTTTTGTCATTACTGTTGGTTGGTTAAGTTTTATGAAAACACGAGCAACAGGACATGTTATTGCATATATTTAAGATGTTGAATTATGAATTAAGTTGTGCTGCTTCTGTTTTAGTAAAGTTTTAAATGCATTTCGTTTTTGACAACTTGCCAAGAGTTTTTTAATGTTAGTGTCGTGTTTTTCTTTATTGTTGTTTGGCTGCGGTTATCAGCACTGACAGTTTTTTAATGTGGTACTGTTTTAAGAGTACATTTCGATACTTGTTTGCGTTTACTTTTTCCCTCCTTTATACGTTCGTAGATTATAGTCTAAGAAGTCAAGAATGAAGTAATAACTAATACTAGCAGTATGCTAGAAAACTAATTAAACGGGAGTTGATCTTTATCATATCTGCCTACGGATCCAGGCATATCCACTGATGTTAGAACAGTTTTTTTTCGACTCAACAAAGTGGTATTGTGATCTGTTTAATATACCATTGAGCGTGCTTTGTTTAAACGGTTCACTGGGCTCTGGAAGCAAAAGACGTGCGCGGTTATGCCATGCGAATCTGGAACAATGACAGAAGTTTAATGAATGCCCATTTATATCTTTCCTTCAGTAGGTTATTCTGTCGCTTTAACCTGAGGTAATAGGTTTATTATTAAAAAATAATATAAGCTAATAGGTTTATTATTTTCTAGAATTGTGGTTTAAGAATCAGCAGTTACAGAAACTGAGGCGTAAAGGTTTAACTTTGCGTTTTCTTTAGGACAGCCCCTGAAATCGAGAGATAAATTACGTCGCTGTGATCAATGAAAACCAAATCGACAGGTTCAGTGTTGGCTGTAAAACTGTAGTGTTCTTCGCAGGAGGTAAACAATGCTCAGTTTCTACAAAGGCTAATCATTAAATGTTACGTTTCTCCTATTCATTTCTTGAATCATGACTCAAGGCAAGTTTCAAGGATAAGTAATTCGTTAGTACGTTTCGACATTGCTCCCAGTTATCATTCGACCAATATAAGCAATATGGGTCTTGGAGACGTTGGCTTGACCCATGACGAAAGAAAAAAACAATTATAAACATTCAGATAGGCAGTGCATGGATGTCTTCATCCATCCAGTTTAGTTTATTGATATGGGCGCGTTCCTTCATTGTAAAGTTTAAAGGATTTTTGTCCAGAGTAGTAATACTTGCTTGCCGAAACTTATTTTTAATATATTGCATACTCTGCAGAGGTATAATGATATCTGCAGTTATGCTGATATGCAAGCAAACAGTCTTTACGAGAATAGGTAGTTTTTTAAACGGTTTACCTGTGACAGGTTTCATGTTTTTTATGAGCCCGCTCCGCGTGTAGATTTTAAACATGAAGATGATGGAATTAATCTAGCCTGTAATGGTACGATTTTCAATTTTCAAGTCTTTCAGCCTAATACAAAAAACACTGAACACCTGGTATCGTAAAAGCGCGTGATCTAAAAATGAATTTGATTGCTGCACCACGTTTGACCCTGCCCTGCCCTGAGAAGTGACATTGTAGCGGATTCAACAGTGGTCGTGCACTCCCTGAAATAGAAATAATTCATTTAAAATTTATTAAAACAAAATTATGCCTGATCATATATGTTTATTGGCATCCTGATAGTTTTTAATACCACCGCTAAGAGAAATAACATTTTCTTTAAATACCGGATTTAAACGGCATAATAATAGCACCGTCCAATGCTTCTCGTAGCTTAGGGTAGTGTTTAGGCAGCTCATCTGCTCCATGATATTTCAGCACCTGTAGAATATAAATGCAAAACCGTATAACTGGGCAAGGCCAAAATCTAAATATACCAATATTTATGAACTTTAACCGAAAGCCAGTGTTTAGATCTCCCAGAAAAACATTTACTACTTCGAAAAGTAGTATGGCGCTTTAAGAAAGACTGTCATAAACTATGCTACTTGCCTGACTGTAGTCTTATGTAAATATATTGTTTTATATGACAATTTCAATGTTTGATACATTTACGTTGTTGCCGTTCGATAATATAGCTCACACGTAGACAACACTTGCACGTTACGGTATACGGTCAAAGCTGCTGATAGGCTACTACATGTAAATGTACATTTTTTTTTCGTTTCCAGTTCTGTTGACCATGACCACCGTCCACTCGTCGATCGACAGGGACGAACTAAAGAAGTTCCTCCATGTCTTAGAGAGTTCTACCAGCGATACCGACCGCATTGTAGCCCTGACCGTAATCCCGAAACTGTGGAAGGATAACTCCGACGAAAGCTTGGTTGCGGAAATCGCCAAGGCGTTACCTGTAACCTTCTTGACACGACTTATGTCTGAAGAAACCCTGAACGGATATCTAGCGGCGATCTCGATTCTCGCGCGGCTGCTAGCCGTTGATTCGGTCGCAAGGAGCTCCAAGTTTGATCCCTGCTGGTCTGCTTTGCTGTGTGTTGTTAAGAGGTTCGTATCTTTTCATATGCTTTAAGGTAAAAATGTTCCTCCCGTTCATCATCATGATCTGAATTGCTCGACGTAGAACGTCGACCTCAAAATCGACAGGTTTTGGGTTCGAGCCTCATTCGTCTTTCGTCCTTTTCAGGTTGATAAATGAGTACCACTGTGTGACAAGGTAACAGGAGTCTATTACTATTCTTTTTGCCACATATCTGCGCTCGACTCTGCCTTTAAAAATTAATGCGCTCAGCTGATGGAAATGGAATTCAGCGTCTTACCATCAACTTCGTGAATTGGAGGCTAGAAATGATTCACTCGCATCAAATGTCACGAAGTCTGTTATTTCAGCGGTTGCAAACTTTTGTCTCCTTTCCTTTCTTATTCGTCAGAACAATTTGAACGTTATTCGAGTGTGTGTTGTCAGCGACGCTTGCCGGCATTGATCTTTTTTGCTGCTTCTTGACCAGCTCATTAAAATAAGCATGGATTTTTTCATGTGAGGATATCCCATTACGGGAAAGTATCATATTTATGAAGGGAATATTTGTTCATGAAGAGAATAATGAGGCACCGTATCTTCAACCGGATCAAAAGTTGATTTGCATATTTTGAGTAAAGAATTTTGTATAACAGCTAATGCAGTTGTTGTCATCTCTTGAGGGTCGGTACCTTCAAAGTCAGTGGTCATGGAGTGAGTATGTAATTAGAGAGATGTTGATTTCACTTAGAATTTACACAGCCATGGTGGAAAACTACAAGGGCACCAATGGTTTGCCGTTCTTTGTCTGGCAAAACAGCCTTTCCTGTACATATTTAAAGTGTGTGTTGCCTGTATTTGTTGAGGTCATTAATTGAGTCGTTTGCACTGGACAACCTCTCTAGTTTGTGATGTCCATTTCATCTGAATCTTTGCAACCGTTTTCCTCTAAAGAACCGGTTATCGCAATATGGAAGTAGATATTCCTATCCGAAGCAAATAATCCTCTCCGAAAGCAGATCTACATCTCTTTTATTCCTCCATATTGCATGATGGCCTGCTGATGGACCTTGGCGTGTTTCACTGCCACAGGAGAAGCTCATAGGATGGAGTAGATGGTCTATTCCTCACCAGTTTTTCTAACAGGGCTAACCTCATTTTCTTAATCTCCACATTTACTGAGGTCACCTGTGCCTCGAAGGGAACAGAATCATTTCTTACGTGGTCCTTCCATTTAATCCTCATTAGGCGTCGGGGATGACACTGCATTATGCAGTTCAACCTTCGATCT